TCAGCATGCCAAATTTTACTAAATTAGATGCATAAGTTGTTGTGTAGTAAGCTTTATAAATTACTATAGTTTTTAAACTATCCCACTTTAATGATTGTTTCCATCTAAATATATTAGGTTTATATTGCAAAGTACCTGTACATATAAAATTATACATCGAAATCATAGGGTTAGTTCAGTTGTTAGACCATTGATGCCAGAATACAATCCCCAAAACTTTCTTTCTTCTTCACCAGACCGGCAGCACTTGTATGGTTTTATGGTAAAACTCCGCAAAATCGTTAACACTGCGGTACGTAAATTTTATTGTACACTCACAGCTAATTGGATTTTTGCCTGAGAAAAATTATTTGTGTAAAGTTTTCAGTGCATGAAAACAGTCAATAAACGTGTACACCTAGATAATACGGGTAACCTAGATATTCGCACATGTACAGTTAAAAAATAATTGTTAAACATGTTATATTAGCTGTTAAATTGTTTACGAAATTTACTGGCACATATTTATACTACAACTAGCGGCTCACCCTCGCTTCGCTCGGGTTCGTCGCTAGGTACGTTTTAAATAGATATAAATAGCCAGCGTTAGCCATATACATTTTAATTTCTTTTCGTTAATTTTTCAATTTTTTCTTTCATAAGAACCTTCTCCGGCAATAACAAACACAACAAAAATAATAGTTAAATCGGTCCAGCCGTTCACGCGTGATGGCGTGACCAAGGGAAATAGGGATTCATTTTTTTTTATAAATATAAATATATATATATATATATATATATATATATATATATATATAAAATATATATATATAAAATATATATATAATTTTATTAATCCTTGCCGTGTATCTTAAGGTACATACGAAAAAAAATATTGCGTTCATTTTTTTTATAGTCGGCTCGTCTCAATGAGATTGGCCGCCGTGGCCGGAATCGGTCAGGAGAACATCATCATCATCATCATCATTTCTTGTGTTTATTTCGCGTCTATCGCTGTGTCTTAAATAACAATGAATGTTTTGTCGGACATACATAACATAAGAATAATTTCGCGTGAAAAACTATCATATATACAGACAAATAGGTAAAATTTTATCCACTATGGTATTGGAGTCTATATTCTGTACACGTAATAGTAATCTTTCCAACAATTAACGCAGCTAAAGTACCAAAACAACTTTAACAACACATTTAAACCTAAACTACGAAGAGCTAATTTGTTAGAACGCTTACTGACTTCACATATCGTCTATCCTCAACCGCCAAAGAAAACTCCTTCCCACTATTTTACCTCTGGGCATTACTGTAATCAACCCGTCTACGAAACCGATGACAAAATTATACAGATAACCGCTACAAAAATGGAATACACCTTATTGTATTAAATATAAGGATGTATATAAGATTAGTATACTGTTTTGAACTTCAAAAGTAAGTTTGTCCGTTTATTCCAACGGCACCCAACTTGCCGTTCGCGGGTGTAAAAACTGCCATAAAAGTCAAGTACCTAACTCTGAAAGTTGTAAAGAGTTGTAGTAATCATAATAAGTAAGGGTATCCTTCGATTGGATTGAAATAACCTTAGATTGATGGTCATTCCCTGGAATTTAAGCGTGAATGATTGATATAATAATAATGTGATAGCAAAGGTATAAATTAAAAAAAATACAAGCTGTTACTCCATAGCATGTGGAACTATGAAGCTATTAAATAACATTTTCTTATTATTTTATAGATTGCATAGCCTTCTTTGAATTATTTAATCTATACATATAATAAAATTGTAACTAAGCCGAATCTGTACATTAATTTTTTTTTCTGAAAATCTTATTGAAATAGACATTATTATTGATACAGAGGCCGAATCTATAGTTTTTAGATTTTTTGTCTGTCTGTCTGTCTGTTATCGCATCACAGAAAAACCACTGAATGGATTTTGATGACATTTAGTACGGTGATAGCTGGTTATCCGGGTCACCTTATAGGATTTTTACCGCGGGAAATCTCTAATAAATCTCATTTCTGAGGAAAAAATACAAAAACTGCATTGTAAGAATATACTAATATGTAAAACCTAAGAATTTGGTATTTAGTCATCAAAATACGGGCGGAGCCGCGGGCAATGCTAGTATTAAATAATTTAAGCAATATAGTTATTCGAAAAATATTACTAGCAGAACCCGCGACTACGCCCGCGTTTAATCTACAAAAAAAACTCTTAGGCTTTATGTTTTATAGCCATTTATATAAATATTGTTCATACAAAAATACTAAAATCACGATTAAAAAATGGGAAGGGGGGCGAGGGGGGTGATGGTGTTTAGGAGGGGGAAAAAGTAGGTATATTAGATAAAAAAGTATATTTAAAAAAAAATAAGTTTGTTACTATCGTTTTCACTATACAAAGTGAATTATAGTTAAAATGTCTGTTCATTCTACCTTGGATATATAAATCCACTTGTAAATAACATTCACTTTACTCTTCGTTTGTCTTCAAAGCAATTTAACACATAAAATTCAATTAAAAATACCATCCAGCACAACACATCCCATATATCTCAGATCTTTTTGCAACGAAAGATCTTCCTACTACTACTGAGAAGATGGCGCTGAAAAGACTAGATCGTACGTGCTAAGTGTTTTGCATGTTGAATCCAAGGTATTAAATCCAAGTTATGTTTTCATACTAAGTCCATGAAATACGGACGACATTTTCTGGCGCGAAATCTGGTGCTAATAGGTCTCGAAGGGACCATTTTCAGTAAGCATCTTGGACGTCAGACTAAATAAATAAATACACAGACATTAACACACAGCACCATCTAGTTCCATGGTAAGGTACGAGGCTTGTGTTATAGATACCAAATAGTTGATACACTACACATATATAACTTTAAATACATACATATTATAAATATAAACACCCATGACTGGAGTACAAACCTTCGTCATCACACAAATGAATGCCCCCAGTGGGACTCGAACCCGCGACCACCGGCACAGAAAGTAGGGCCACTACAAACTGAGCCAAACGAATACGAAGAAGATTGAACTTGAACGAAGAATGTGCCTTTTCTTAACCTAACGGTTTGGATAGGGACACCCAGCCTCCACCAGTCCGGCCATGACAATATCTTCTTAGGTCTTCTGCATCAAAGCTAAGTGTACAAGATCTGAGCGATTTCCTTGGTCACATAGCAAAGTTCCCAAAGCAGTTTCCAAAGCGGTATGGTTCCTCGTATTATTTATTAGAAATATTAATATTATATTTTTTATGTTTTTTTTCCAAGTTTGGCAACACTTTTACTTTTATTAATATAAAAAATAGTAGGTAAAATACTTAAAAATGTTAACTAACAAAATTTCAATTTTAATTGTTCCTATCATTAATATCTTTTACTTGGCTATATTAATTACCGTTAAAATCAACCTCACTAATTCAAATGTTGCTTTCAAAGTTTATATAAAATAATAAAACTAAAATTTTATATTATTATATTTTATTCTATTATTGTATAGCGCCATCTATGTTTTGACTTAAGAACTATTTAGTTAAAAATGTAGTACCAGTTTTATATTTATTAACAAGTGACTACTACGCGAAGAGATGGCGCTGGTCAATAAAATATATTTATTATACATATATTTTATTAGCCAGTAATTTTTAAAAGCCTTGTTAGGACATACTTAAAAATAATAATTAATTATTGTATTTACACTAATTATATGAAAAACTATTAACAATACTGCAATTGGTATGTTCCAATTTGAGACAATTTCATTAGCTTTAGCCATTAATAGTGATTACCTCACCAGTAAAGTAATTAATAAATTAAAATGTCAATTATTATTCGCATTCCTTTTCTCTCTTTCTTAATTCTTTTTAACATTCAGCTAAGCTTGCTCCAGTAGATACTTTTTAACGATTAGTATGGATTAGATAGAATATGCTATATGCTATATAACTTAAAGCCTTCCTTAATAAACTAAAAAAAATTTTAAAATCATATTACTAGTTCCTGAGATTAGCACGTTCAAACAAACAAATAAACAAACAAACTCTGCCTCTTTAATATTAATATAAATAAAATGTTAACAATAATGCTATAGATAAATAAGCTCTTAAACAGTAAAACACTTATCGGTAATTATATTAAAGTACACACACACTACATATTAAGCTACTCTACAAACATTAAGCAGCGATGACAAATCAAACAGCTTTCAAAAGTATTAATTTAGCTAATTTTTAACCGACTTTCAAAAACGAGGAGGTTCTCAATTCGTCGTTTTTTTTTTTATGTATGTTCACCGATTACTCGAAGACGCCTGAACCAATATGGAAAGTTTTTGTTTTGTTTGAAAGGTTATATATATTTCGACAATATTTTCAGATATGAATATCTAATAGGTAAATATGTATTTTACGTATCAAAATATATTAGATTTCCTATGCGTCGGCTGGCACCGACTTCGAAAATATCTGATTAGGTATCTATTCTAAATGAAAACCCCCGTTTAGTTATTTTTTCACATTTTAGTGCCTGGAAGTCGGTTTTTTTTTAGGTTTTTGAAACATCTATTTGACAGACAAAAGACAAAATTTCTCTACGCTCATAAAGAGAGCTTCATATCTTCAAGCCAATGAACTCGTCAAAGTATATAAATATTGTATAACATACATATATCATATGAAGAATAAACAGTAGAGATTGCATTTCTCATCTTTTTCATAGTGTTACAATATTCGTTACTTCTAGGCAACAATACAACACCGTTTAAAATAGCAAAATCGGTCAAGCAGTTTTCGAGAAACCGGTGAACATACACGAAAAAAACATACACACTTTTTGGAAGTTAATTAAAACACTCTCCATATCAATTCAACTTATTGAGAAGCACAAAGAAGCTCACCATATTATTATAACACTTTAAAGATTTTCTGGAATTCAAACTTTTATTTTTCCTTTGATATTTTGCGAGTGTAATTTTCTTGTTTAAAAAAATCTTCGAAGTAAAGCGATAGAAGCAGCCGACGACATAACCAAGGTGGCGGAATTTAAATGATTCGCAGCGTTGATTTTACAAGAGTCTTCAGAATTTATGAAGAACACAAACGTTGTGTTTTGTAGATTATATTTTCTTACAGTCTGGTCTAATTTTATTGCATCAGTTTCCTTCAGATGTAGAGAGCGCGTAAGCTTCCATAGTTCATCTGAAAAATGAATTAAACATATTATTTCTTACACTAATATGTAGAAATATACAAAAGTATAAAAATAATTATTTCTACTTATTTTACTTGATACTTGAATGTATTGTTACCATATAGCTTAATTGTTTTACGCGACACACAATAGATTATAGAGCTCCCAGTTGACATGATTTTTTCCGACATCTTCAACTATCATCATCGTAATTCAACCAATTTACACAAATCTATACTAATATTATAAAGAGGTAACGTTTATGAGTTTGTGAATTGTGAGTTTTTGACGTTGTAGCGGGTAATCTATAGATCTACTAAACCGATTTAGATGAAATTTGGTAAGAATATGTTTGATATCCTGGGAATAACATACTTTTTATCCCGGAAATTATCCCTTAAAGGGGTGAAAATGGGGATGAAAATTTGTATGGGGAAGCAAGCTAGGGACGAACCCGAGCGAAGCGAGGGTGAGTCGCTCGTTTTTAATATTTATACAACAAAACCTTCCTCATTAATCCGTCTGTTTGTGAAAACCGTAAGAAAATCTGTTCGATAGTTCTTGAGCTTATCGAGTTCAGATGAATAGACAGACAGAAGTGGTGAGGGGGGACTTTGTTTTAAAATATGTAGTGATTATATGCTAAAATCTAAAAAAATGAGTATAAATAGATTATTGTTATAATAAATAAAAATAGAAGTTTTAACATAGTATGAGACTCCATTCTCCAGCCCTCCAACTATCTCCACACAAAAAATTACACTCCGTTTCGTCGTGAAAAAAAGACAAACAAACAAACACACTTTCACATTTATAATATTAAAAAAGTATGGATAATAACATACATACAAAAGTATATGTTAACATAATACATGCACATTCTGATATGATAACATTTAGTTACAGATAACGATCACCCATCATATGCATGAACCGAGTGAAGTTTCTTAAATTTGTTCCATTATGATCCTAAACTACGCCATAACCAGTGCACTTATACTTAAATTATTATTTTATTATATTATTTTTATTATATATATATATTTATACTGTACATCTATACATATAATATAACTAAGCTGAATCTGTACATTAAATATTTTTTAGAAAAACTCATTGAAATAGACATTATTATCGATACAGAGGCCGAATCTATAATTTTTAGAATTTTTGTCTGTCTGTCTGTTAGCGCATCACAGAAAAACCACTGGAGGGATTTTGATGAAATTTGGTATGATAATAGCTGGTTATCCGGGTCAACATATAGGATACTTTTTACCGCGGGAAAATATCTCATTTCTGAGAAAAAAATACAAAAACTACATTGTAAGAGTATACCTATGTAAAACCTAAGAATTGGGTTTTTGGTCATCTGAACGCGGGCGGAGCCGCGGGCAATGCTAGTTATTTTATATAATATACTATACATTTCCCAATAATTTTATATACGCGCCAAAATATTTTTTACTATTGCATGGTTTAACAGATTTTACAAGAGATGTTACCATTGAAAAAATAGTTCTAACAAATGAGATGGTTAATTAAAGTAATTCAATAGTTTTTCCGACTCAACGCGCTTGACCTCAAATCAAGCGAAACGGTACTCGATCCGGCTTCCGGATGAAGAGACGGCATAATGAACAACACGAAATAGATCTTTAGATGGTACTAATATCAATCTATACATATAATAAAATCGTAACTAAGCCGAATCTGTAAATTAAATACTTTTTTGAAAATCTTATTGAAATAAACATTATTATCGATACAGAGGCCGAATCTATAGTTTTTAGAAGTTTTGTCTGTCTGCCTGTCTGTCTGTCTGTTACCGCATCACTGGAGGGATTTTGATGAAATTTGGTATGGTGATAGCTGGTTATCCGGCTCAACATATAGGATACTTTTTACCGTGGGAAAATATCTTATTTCTGAGAAAAAATACAAAAACTGCATTTTAAGAGTATACTAATATGTAAAACCTAAGAATTTGGTTTTTTGTCATCTGAACGCGGGCGGAGCCGCGGCCAATGCTAGTAAGTAATAAAACGGTAAAGTCAAATAAAGTAAAATGGTATTGACCATTTCAAATTAGGCGATATTTAAGTAAATGTACAGGGGATACTTTAGATTTAACTAATATTAACATGAATTTTGACAACACGTTTGGCTCAGTTTGTAGTGACCCTACTTGCTGTGCCAGCGGTCGCGGGTTCGAGTCCCGCTGAGGCATTTATTTGTGTGATGAGTATAAATGTTTGTTCTCCAGTCACGGGTGTTTATATTTATAATATAGTATTTAAAGTTATATATGTATAGTGTATCAACAATCTGGTATCCATAGCACAGGCCTCGTAACTTAATATGAAACTAGATGGTGCTGTGTGTTAATGTCCCAACATATATATTTATTTAATGAATTAAACAACTAACTCTACAACAGGCATGCAGTACTTACAGGTAATGTTGCCAGAGTTATCAGAACATGCATATAGAGCAATGTAGTGCTCATAGTCCACGCCCAATACGGAATATTTAACTGTACTATTATCTGTAAACAAAAATATTATCTAAGCCTTCCTTAAATTTATCAAGAAAATGAAATGAAGATAAAAAATAACAATTTAATCATTGTTGTTTTAGTTGTGTTAATACATAACTAGAGACTCTCTCCGCTCGGGTTCGTCCCTTCTTACGTTTTAACGTTTTGCATAGATTTCTCAGAGATAAGATATTTTCCCGCAGTATAAAGTATCTTATATGTTGATCCGGATAACCAGCTAATATCATACCAAATTTTATCATAATCTGTCCAGTGGTTTTCTCCTTTCTGAGTTCCAAGATAGACTGATAGACCGGTGGTACGTACGGTGGTCGATACGTAAAATACATATTTACCTATTAGATATTCATATCTTAAAATATTGTCGGCTGGCACCGACTTCTAAAATATCTGATTAGGTCTCTCTCTCTCTCTCTCTCTCTCTCTCTCTATCTCTCTCTCTCTCTCTCTCTCTATTCTAAATGAAAACCCTCGTTTAGTTATTTTTTACCTTTTAGTGCCTGGAAGTCGGTTTTTATATATTTTTTAAAGTTTCTATTGCTTATCAAATACATTCACCAAAAATTCACAACGTTTCTTGCGAATACGAATAGGTACGAATGCGAATAGCAAAAAATATGCTAATATTCGTGAATGCGAATATTCGTTACATCACTAATACATATGTATAAAGATGATGAAATATTCCCTACCAAACATTCAAACAGCAGGTGTTTTTTTATTTAAATATTACCATTTTATTATATTACCATTTAGATAATATTTTCTGCTTCTCCTTCTATTACTTGACACCCGTGAGCATTATCATCAAGAAAATTTGTTTAAACCTTAATTCTTAAAGAAATATTTTAAAACTTATAACTCACCTTTATAATTAACTGAAAGTAAGTCACCGCCGTTACTTTTATCAGTAAGAAAAACAGATCCATTATGGAAACTAGCAGTGTTGTTGACCACCCAAGTGATAGAAATATCGGTTGTGTTATTGTTTTTATGGTTGAAATCAACCATGGCACAGTCGGCTTGCTTGTTAAAGTTTGTGGCCACTGCGGCAAAATACCATCTCCCATCCAGCTGGTGTCGGAAAAAAAATATTTAAAATGATCACATCCAAGAACAATTTAGTAGTATAATATTAGAATTTCCCCGAATCAATCAAAACTAGGTCGTAATTTGAATTATTTGACTTCAGTACTTTACGCATATTTTTTTAGTTTAATCGATAAAATTATAATAAATATGTAATATAGGTAAATAAAAATATAAAATGTTCGAAAGTTTTCCAACCTTGAAATTTTTACGAACAGGAGTGCTTTTACAAGCAGGTTTTGCACATTAACTTCTAAACCGTTTAATGGATCGCAATAAAAATGGATACCCATAGACGTATGAGTACTGAGTATATCACAACTTTATTCATACACAAGCGGCTCACCTTGCTTCGCTCGGGTTCGTCCCTAAGTTGCTTCCCGATACAAACCTTCATCCCCATTTTTACCCCTTTAAGGGATGATTTCCGGGATAAAAACTATCTTATGTTCTTCCTAGAGTCTCAACTATCTTCTTACCAAATTTCATCTAAATTGGTTCAATAGTTTCGGTGTGTATTTGATACAAACAAACAACAAATAAACAAACAAACAAACAATCTTTCCTCTTTTTAATATTAGTCTAATAGAGTAGCGAACTTTTAAGAAAAAAAATTAAAAAGCTCACCTTCGGTAAATCCAGATTAGTAGAATTAACATTTTCACAAGTAGTATATTGAGATTTAACTTTATATATAACCAGTACAAGTATTAAACAAAACCTCAACATTTTGGTAGTGTTAAGTAATATAGTGTCAACCTAATAATGAATTAACTGAGAGACTGTACAAAAAGCAGCGTCTTATATAGCATTTGCCATTTCGTAGGAAACAATGAAGTACTTCCGTATTAAAAAAATACGTTACTAAATGGACAATTTTAAATGCTTGTTGTGATTTTAAGTAAAACTATCTTTGCGGTTTATTTGGCGGATTTATTTTGATTTTTGGTTCCCGAAGTTTCGAATGCTTTACAGCAATCATGGTCACGGGAGAGACTAAGGTTTTAGACATCTCAAAGGCGTTATACACTTGTTACAGACAATGCCTACCCACAATTTTACAAAAATGATTTCAAAAATTCAGAAATGGCACCAGAGTACCTTACTTGCTTGTTGTCAATTACTTGAAGATACGTTTGGCTCAGTTTATAGTGACCCTACTTGCTGTGCCAACGGTCGTGGGTTTGAGTCCCACTGGGGGCATTTATTTACGTGATGAGCGCGAATGTTTGTACTCCACTCATGGGTGTTAAGGGTCTTATATTTATAATATGTATGTTTTTAAAGTTATATATGTGTAGTGTATCAACTATCCGGTATCCATTACACAGGCCTCGTAGCTTACCATGGAACTAGATGCTGCTATGTGTTAATGTCCCAAAATATTTATTTATTTAAAGTAGTAACAAAAAAATATATGATCATGTATAGTAACTTTACTTATGGTGTCGTTAGTCGTAGGTTCAACTCCATCACATTACAAATTTGTATTAAAGATATAAGTAAATATTTGTTACAATTATGGTAATGCAATAAATCCCTAATAACCAAATCAATATCCTCAATAAAAGAAAATGCACGAAATTAAAAATAACAAAAATCTAACCTAACTGAATATTTGACATTAAACAAATACAAATATTTGTGTTGATACCAAGATATCTATTTAGGCGTGCAACAAAATCTCAAATGAGATAAATAAGGCTCGAGATAAAATCAGTAATCTAATAGTCACATTCTACGTGAACATGTATTATGTTGTAGTGTTAACATTTATTTTAAATTTACAAACTTTAAGCGATGGCCAAGTTATATTATTTGGAAACTGTACAGATGTGGAGACTATGAAGTATTTTGAAATAGAAAGGGTAAGCAGTATTTAAATCTTATAATACTAAATGAGCAATTCTTGTATAAACAATTTCGTGTATTCCGAGAACGGCCCTAACAATTTGGATCAAATTTGTGTTTAGATAAGGTTTTGCTTTTAAGTTTGTTTATTAAATGATTTTTTCTGTAAGAAACGCAATTTTTAGAGCCTTTTCTATCACCTTTCATGCTGACAATGTCTTAGCGCCATCTTCTAAATTTTTGTGATACTTGCATTGTTGCCAATGGACCCTTACCTATTGAACGAGTGAAGCTCGACCGCTCTTCTAAGAGGTATATTATATAGTGCATATCATTACAATATTTACATATTGATTTCTCTTCCTCCTTCTTTCTTAATGCTCACAATTGAATTATTTAAATCTAAAATTAAAAAATGACTAAGAAGCAGCGCATATTATTCTGCCACGAAGTCCTTTGCATATATACAAAATCTATACTAATACTATAAATAGGTAGAGTTTGTTTATTTGAACACGCTAATCTCAGTAACTACTAATCCGATTTTAAAAATTCTTTTTGTATTAGATAGCCCATTAACGAGGAAGACAATATATCATCTATACATATAATAAAATTGTAACTAAGCCGAATCCGTACATTAAATATTTTTTGGAAAATCTTATTGAAATATACATTATTATCGATACAGAGGCCGAATCTATAGTTTTTAGAATTTTTGTCTGTCTGTCTGTATGTCTGTCTGTCTGTCTGTTACCGCATCACAGAAAAACCACTGGATGGATTTTGAAGAAATTTGGTATGGTGATAGCTGGTTATCTGGGTCAACATATAGTATACGTTTTACCGCGGGATAATGTCTCATTTCTGAGAAAAAATACAAAAACTGCAACGTAAGAATATAATATGTAATCCCTAACAATTTGGTTTCTGATCATCTGTACGCGGGTGGAACCGTGGGCAATGCTAGTATAGTATATAGTGTCTATTCCATACTGACCGTTAAAACGTATATACTTTACAAATGTATGGATTTAAGTCTAGTTAATACTCACGTAGGATAAATAGAAAACTATTATAAGATTCAAAATAATACTGTAAACAAAAACATTATTTTGGTAAAGAAATTTTAAGGAGTACTCTAAAACAATTTTAAATTACTAGCGACTTATTCTAGCTTCGCTCGGGTGCATCCTTAGGTGTATATAAAAGTTTGTATATGTACAAGTATGTATAGTTTCCCTTTCAAGCTAAAAGCTAAAACAACTGTACCCATTTTGAAAAAAATTTTACAGATATACTGCTAGCCACCTAAAGTAACGCCCGAGCTAAGCCAGGGTAACTCGCTAGTCTGCACATGGTATAAAACAAAGCCGTTCACGCTGTTTGTACGCTTAGACCTTTTAAACGACGCAACGGATTTTATTGTAGTTTTTAGCAAAAGATAGAGCAATTCAAGAACAAGGTTTCCATACCAACCGTAAGTCATACTAACCGTTAAAGCATACTTAGGGACGAACCCGAGTAAAGCGACAGTAACTCGCTAGTTATCTTATAACATGTTTATAGTTTCTAGGTAAATGGCATCAAATAGAGAGATTTCCGTCCTGGTATGAAGAATCTGGTGACTGTTCCTACAAACTCATCGAGCAATGTGGCAGACGGATTGAATTCCAACATACTTATGTAAAAAATCGCATTCAATATGTGCTTCATATTAATAGCTCTTACGCACCCGGGGACGAAGCTGTTTTTTATATACCGGAGAATAACATAGGTTAGTTTCTTTTATAATCTTCACTTACAACACCTAAAGTCCTGGGGTTCGATTCCTACGTGAGAAAAATTAAATGTCCATAGCAAAAATTTACTAATTTGGTTAAAATAAGCAATATTGTTAACGAACACGCAGTATCTTAATCGACAGTTAATTAAGATTGATATATTTTATAATTGTTGAAAAAATATAATAATAATGAATTATATTAAAATTCAAATATTTCTAAAAATGTTATAGTCAAACTAAAAAACTAACACTTTCCAACTAAAGGAATCTTTAAAAATGTCATAAAAAGTTAATCTATCAATTAACAAGTAAATCATATTAATGCATATAATATAAAATATTTAAACATTTTAAATAAAACTATCTTTTCGGATTTTTTCGCGGATTTATTTAGATTTTTGGTTCCCGACGTTTCGAATGCTTTACAGCAATCATGGTCACATGGAGACTGTTTAGTCGCAAAAATCAAGTCAAAAATCTGTCAAAAATCCGAAAAAATAGTTCTATTTTAAATGTCAAATATTCACGTAAATCTACAAAAGTATTATGTTTAAACATGACAATAACATTATTTTTCAGATCCACTTGGCATTCCTTTGTCAATAATAACAACAGATTACACGAACTACGCAATCGTGTATGGATGCACATTTAATGAGACTTCGAATCTTAAACACGGTTAGTATTAAGACTTATTCTTTCTTAATTCAAACTAGCGCCTTACCCTTGCTTCGCTCGGGTGCGTTCCTAAGTATATATTTTTTTTTGAGCGAGACCCTAAATTTTTTTTCTAAAAAAAAAGTAGCCTAAGTTACATTAAATATGTGTTGAGTGTTATATACTCTTTATTGCACATAAAAAAAAACAAAAATTACAACTATTAAGAGAAAATTGAAGGCAAAGGTGGACTTATCTCTAAAAGAGATCTCTTCCAGTCAACCTAGGAAGTGAGAAAGATTGTCATTTCACGGAGCAGAAAAGTGCAATGTAATATGGCAATAAAGTACAAAAAACACAGTAAATATAAAAATAACATACTACATGTAGTTTTATGGCCGGTGTTATAGAATGATTCGCATACAAAAATTGTATAGACCTGACACTGAACCGGTTTTACTTGATTTTCCAATCAAGTAGGTTATTAATGGATTACAATTTCAGCAGTGGGACATAAAAAAATAGCAGAATACAAATAGGTACATCTTAATTAATCTTTTTCAGTTGTAGCATGGATTTTATCAAGAAATACAACTCTTCAACCAGATTTACTTAACAAAGCATATCAGGAACTGAACGTGCTACCCTCTGGTGGCATAGCGTATTTGGAAAAAGTGAATCAAGATGATAAATCCTGTTACCACAATTGGTCAGCTCATGTTTACGCAGAGTATTATAACAGTACAGTTAAATAAATATATGTTTTGAATGTTTGCTTTATTTGCGCAAATCTTCTCGCTTGTTTTTGTTCATGTATCATTTGAACGTAGTTATGGAAAATGGATCCAGCCCACGAAAACTGTTTTTGGAGTTACTGTCAAATGGCACCTACATGCTTATATACAAAAAGTAAATAAAATACCCAATATTTTAAAAGAATTAAAAAAAACTACGATCTTGTTATCTTGATATGTACCAATTTTACTAAAACTCCTACTTTCTCAAATGTAAGTTTTTGTGGTTGGATCTATTTTGCATAACTACGCCCATTTATACCATACTTGTTCATCTAAATATACTAGTATAATATAACTTTAAAGCCAAAAAGAGATTCGATTATTTTTAATAAATATGATTGTTATATTAAAAAAAGTGTTTAGATTTTTTAATGGTCTACCCTATTCTTTATTTGTATTAAGTAGGAAAATGTTGATAAAAAAATATTGTACAAAAACAACTAGCGGATTCAGTAGGGAAACGCTGTCCGGCCTCTGACCCCGTTTGGTCTGAAAATTAAAGAAATCTAGATCTCCAACCCGCAGGTAGCACAAGGACCTCATAGGTACATAAACCTGTATTACAAATCGGTCTAACCGTTTAGGAAGAGAAGAATTACGAACATGCGTACACTGGTTTTTATATATAAATTTAAATCTGATATAGATTTATAAAATAGCAGCAAGATGGCGGACAGCGGATGAATGCAGCGTGCTCAGGATCGTGGCGGTTAGCGTTCGATGAAAATGGTCTTCAATATTTATATACTACACTAGCTACTCACCCTCGCTTCGCTCGGGGTCGTCCCTAGTTTGATTCCCCATACAAAGTTTCATCTCCATTTTCACCCCCTTAAGGGATGATTGCCGAGATATTTATCTTGGCAATCATATATAGTCTTATGTCCTTGCCAGGGTCTCAAACTATCTTCTTACCAAATTTCATCTAAATCGGTTCAGTAGATCCGGAGATTACCCCCTGCAACGTCACAAACTCACAAACTTTACCTCTTTATAATATTAGTATAGATGCATATTGGTAATGCTTATAGTCCTGTATAGTAAAGTATAAACACAATTCAATTATCTTATTAATGGCTTCAAAGCGTGCCGAGCACCAATTACTGCGCCATGGTCACGTGGAATAGAGAAGGCACGAAGGAGATTGGTCGGTAAAATAAGATTAACAAACTAAATTATAGCGACTCACCCTCTACCGCTCGGGTTCGTCTCTAGGAACGTTTTAACGGTTAGTATAGATTTCTCAGAGATACGATATTTTCTCATAGTAAAAAGTATCCTATATGTTGACCCGGATAACCAGCTATCATCATAGCAAATTTCTTTAAAATCTGTCCCGTTGTTTTCTCGTGATGCTTTCCTAGACAGACAGATAGACAGATAAAAATTCTAAAAACTATAGATTGGGTCTCTGTATCGATAATAATTACAATTTCAATAAGACTTTAAAAAAAATGTACAAATTCGATTAAAAATTTTATTATATGTATAGATAAAGTGTAAAAACGGTAGTAAATGTTTTATAAACCTTGGACCTACAACAAAAGAAAGCACAATTACTATAATATATAGAATAAAGTCATGTTTGTACAATTTAATGTATTTTTGAGTGAATCACAAATATACGTAGGTATTAATGTCAAATTACAATGCGCTTTATAGATAAGATTTTATCAACAAATTTATTTCCCTAAATTTTTCACTAATCACTTACACGAATTATAATTAAGCTGACTTTATAAGAAATTGTCTGTATTTAATATTTAGTAATCTTAATTTCAAAGTTCGAGTTAAAAATGAATAAATACATACCTATAATAAAATTCTGAGTCGAATCTGTACATTAAATATATTTAGGAAAATCTGTAGTTTTTAGAATTTTTGTCTGTCCTTCTGTCTGTCTGTGACCGCATCACGAGAAAATCACTGGACAGATTTTTATAAAATTTGGTATGATGATAGCTGGTTATCCGGGTCAATAGGTGTAATAGGATACTTTTTACTACGGGAAAATTTCTCATATCTGAGAAATCTATACGAAACGTTAAAACATAACTACTAAGTAAACATTAAAACGTACTTACTATATGAAAATATTATTTGAGAAGCATTTACTTAAATGGGTATGGTTTTGAAGAATTATAATTTATTGGTAAATTTTTCGCTCTACAAAAATAAAGTGTGATCATTAACAAATATTTTCTTATGATTTCATATTTAGAATATATACTCTTTTTGAATTATGGATAGACCTTTTTCCCTTAACAGTTAAGATGACAATGTAATGTTCAATACAAAACTAAAAATATTTTTTAAATTTGATTTGATCTTCTCATTCAAATGGGTACAGGAAATCTGAAAGTGGTCGGCTCCATCGGAACATCTTCATAGTATTTTGGATTACACTTGCTTCGATCTTCTTGCACGAGATTTGTGGGATCAACCCCAATTTGCTGAAGCGGTTTTAGCGCAAGCTCTTTCGACACAGCATTCAAAGTAGGATATCTTGACAGAATCCAGACATAAACTAAAAGATAAATACAGAATTACATTATTTCTTTTAAAGTTCAACAAATATTTAATGCCTAATATTCGCCAAATTATAAATTGTTGGAAATCCCACTAAGATATATGATCAGATGAATACAGTAAAGCCAACCAAAACAAAACAAACTAAAGCAAAGGAACTTCTATTATCATAACATGGCAATGCTTATACTCTCGTTTCTGTTACCTTCGACAATTTTCTGACTCCGAACTATGACTTGGAGAATATTGCTAAAAAAATTTGGTAGAAAACCAAATTAAAAATTTAATAAATTAAGCCCAGAACTTGGACCTAGGTCCTCATTTATCGCAACTATTGTAAACAATTTTATTAGCTCTATCAAAGCTTAATTAAAAATTTTAACAATTCACTATCAAACTTACTTTTTTCTAGATATAACAAACCCACTTACTATAGTGCTTATTTATCAGTTGACTGTATTGGCAGGTATACACTGTAGCATAATAGTTGTAATTAGTCGCCAGTACACGGAATGGATATTTCCGCGTCTTCACTGAAATTAAAACAAGTATCAACTAAGCAAAGAGAAAATAAATTTAAATATATACACATCTCAAATGAGATTTTTTTAAGAATTAATACATAGCCCAAATCTATATGTCTAGAAACTTAAAAGAAGAATATTTTGAGAACTATATAACATGATTCCTAACTGGTAAGATCTAGGTTTTTTTGCAAATGTAAAATTCAATAAATCTTCTTTAAATATATTTTAAAGCTTTATTATCTCCAAACATTGTTTCTTAGAATTTTCCTCTACCTAAATTTTAAAGACCAATTGATAAATATCCACTTTTATGTTTACTTAAGATTTTCCTCCCTCAGTTACAGTTGGCACTCCCATATACACATGTATTTGAGAATGCCAACCCTATTTTATTACTTTTTTGTAATTTGATTGCGGAATGAACACCTTTAAACAAAATTTTAACAATAGTCTTCGAGTACAGCTAGTACAGACCGACAAACGAACATGACGATATTCATTTTTGCCTTTTGGCTACGGAATGCTTAAAATATCTCCTACGAGTATGAACTGTGGGCGAAGCTGTATCAATTATAAGGACTGTACAACTATGACGCTCGCCTTTCACAATACAGTGTATTATGTAGAACTCAAATTGGCTACATAGGTCTTAAATCTGAATTGAAATGGATGGATAAATGTATGTAAACAAGAATATTTGTGTGTATAGTAACATTTTCTCATATATTTTTTTTAAATAAGTTTTCTAAATTCATATAGTTTATTTAGGCAGAAGAAAGTAATTCGTTTTTAACTACATCATATGAATATTTTTAACTTGAATATATTTAAGGTTTAAACTTTTTAGATCTACTAAAATAACTTTCACCTAAAATTTTAATTGTAAACCCTTAAGAAAATCTAGATTCAATATAATTTAAAAAATAAAACTTACATCGTCTAGGAGCGTTTTTGAAAGCAAATATTATATCCAGCTTTGATGCATCTTCAATGTTTGAGGGTATATCAATCTTCCCAACACTAAATCTATGGAACAGACCACGATCGACCCTTGTCTGATTCAGATAAATACCCGAAGGTCTCGTAATCAGATCAATGGTGGAACAGTTATTTTGACGCTGTCCATCACTGGAGTAGTAGAAAGCTTGATACCATTTCCCATAGAACTGAAAATGTAAATAAAAAAGTTTATTTTTTTTATGGGATACATTAAATTGTAATTTCCAACGTACTCTGTGTTCCAAATAGACAAACAAAGGCACAAACAAACAAAAAGTATAGCAATAATATTTCAATTATTTTCAATTTTAAAGTTTCAAATGACCTTTAAGAGATTACACTAATTAAATGTACAAAACTAGTGCTCTAACAATCTTTTTGGATTTATTCTCGGATTTATTTTGATTTTTGGTTCCCGACGTTTCGAATGCTTTACAGCAATCATGTTCCCGGTCTCTCCCGTGACCACGTTCGCTGTAAAACATTAAAAACGCAAATATTCGCGTAAATCCAAGAAAGTATTATTTTAACCACCATACGAGTATTATCTCTAATTAACCATATAACGATTAATACATACGTCAGCCAATCTAAAATTTTCTTTTACGCCAACATTATCGGGACATCTACCCGATATAGTGAAATATGCAAACACAGAATTAAAACAAATAACTAAAAATATCAACTTCAACATTCTGCCTGTCCGTTGTATACTGGGAGAATCTTATTTCTTCATTAAGTTATTGTGTTATAGGTTATCAGTTGAGCAGACGCTGTTCTAAGAATAAAACAACACAGTTATATATCATGTAAACTTATTTCTTTCTTACTATAAGAATTGAATATCGATAAAATAAGCGGCATGAATTTACAAACTTTAAATAATTTCCATTGAATTAATATTATTATCATATTATAATAAACTAGCGACTCACCTTCGTTTCCCTGGATTTTTTCGTTTTCGCTAGGTTGATTCCCCATACAAACTTTCATCCCTATTTTCACCCCCTTAATGGATGATTCCCGGGAAAAAAACTATCCTATATCCTTCCTAAGGTCTCAAACTGTCTTCTTACAAAATTTTATCTAAATAGGTCCAGTAGTTTTGGAGCTTATTCGGAATAGACAAACAAACAAAAAAACCTTCCTCTTTATTATATTAGTATAGATATAATATATTTTAAGGAAAAATACAATATAGTGTCAAGCTCGATTGCTTATAATAAGTTAGACAGTACATTTTGTGTTTTTAACTTAGCTATATTTGTGTATTCGAATAGATATCAAACCCCAGACCTTTATGTTCTCATACTCGATAAGAACATTTACTATCACTTTGCCATACGTATGTACAGTGTATCGCGATATACATAATATTATGTATTTATATTCTTGTATTACGCATAATTAATGACTTCTCTTTCCGAGTAATGTATAATTTATTTTTATTGGACATTGTTGTTATTAGATTTCCAGTAATTTTGTAAGGAAAAATTTGGTATTGGAGAAAATAGGCAGCCATGTAAATAATCTTACAAGCGTTTGAGATGATTTACTAATTGGTTATCATTTTAAAATCGCAACGATATTACTTGTCGAAAATTGTATTATAGATAATTTAGATATATGTATAGTGTACATAATAATCTATACTAATATAATAAACTAAAAAGTTTATTTTTTAGAACGCGCCAATCTTAGGGTCTACTAGTCTACTGTGGATCTATTTCATTTCTTCTTACAACGTACTAACTCTGACCTTTTGAATTCTTTCAATTAAAGAGTCACTCCATAATCTAAAAAAAACTCTGGAGGACGTTTATATGAACCCTTGGGTTCAATTTACTGGCAATTTCAATATAATACGACTTTACAGACGGTCATCATTTAATAATTATCGCGTGGGACGCGACCTCGCATTCGATAGCACACGTTCGGTCTGTTTGCATGTTTTTACAATGCTCTTAATATTTACTTTCTGTCTGTACTTTATGTACACTTTGGCGGCCGAATTTACTTTGCCCGGTGAATGTCCAAATGTGAAGATACAGGAAAACCTCGATTATACTAAGGTCAGTTCTAAGTACAAGAATTATGCTCATTTGCCATTAAGAAAAAACAACATTATTCATATACGTGTATAATTTTAACATACGAATTATACGAAAAAGAAAAATTCCTACTCTAAGGAGTTAACAGTGAGTAAATAGTGACTACGTAATTTGTATAAAAAAATGAAATTTTTTGATCTTGAATTTTCTATTAAAATTCACTCTTGTGTTTTATAAAAATAGAATCCAAAACAAACTTAATACATATAAATTGATATTTATGGCAATTAGCGAAATTCGGTGGCCGGTAATTTTCATTCTTTCATTAGTCAGCGCCATCTATTGATACTCATCTGAACTTTCAGAAGATTTTTTTTAATAACATTAAAGTTGAACTATTCTCCTAAGGTAAAAGTATTACTATGATAAAAAATAGTCTTTGAATTAGTCCAGGACAAGATCTATTCATTTGAATTAGTTTAAACTTTAACAATATAAGTGAGATTTGCGTCAAAATAACAAAACATCATTTCCAATGACGCTATTATAACATACAATGAAAGGGAATGAACACAAAACATTCTAACATTGTATATTAAATACTAGCGACTCACCCTCGCGCCGCTCGGGTTCGTCGTCGTCGTCCTAGATACGTTTTTAACGTTTAGTTAACCCATACAAACTTTCATGCCCATGCTCACCTCCTTAAGGGATGATTTCCGGGATAAAACTATTTCACTCACATGCTTTTTATATCATGGGATTTAAAAATTGAAAATACTTATTTTAGTTAAAAAAAAAACATTTAATTTTCTTCTATACAAAGCTTTTCCTGACAATAACAAACACAAAAAAAAAGAATTATCCCGTTTGGTGCAGTCGACGGAAGTTATGCGCGTACATATAATTCGGTGATTCATTTTTATATATTATATACATAGATAAATACATTGATAAGAAACTTCATGCAAGTTACCCTAATTTTATTTTTAATTATAGTTTTCAGGGATGTGGTATAATGCTGCCAGTTACGCTAGTGACGGCAGAAATATATATGACTGCGCATCTCTTGATTTTCAAGAAGATAATCTCGGATATACTCTAAGAGAGACCTATGTGGATATAGATCAAGGGAATAGGACTCAAAAGTCGTATTTTGCCAGAGTAGATCCAACATTTGACGCTGGAAACAAGGCTCAGTTTATTGTTAGCCACGAAGATGGAGGTTAGATTTGAACATTAAAACTAAGTATATTATCGGACCTTTTTAACGTCCCACTGCTGGGCACGGGCCTCCCTTCAATATGAAGGGGATCAGGCCGTAGTCCACCACGCTGGCCAAGTATGGGTTGGCAGACTGCATATGACTTTCGAAAAATTCTAAAGTTCTCTCATACATGGAGGTTTCCTCACGTTATTTTCCTTCACCTTAAGACAAGTGGTAATCATGTTGGAAATGATTCGCACATTTAGATATGAGAGGTGCGATACCAGAGATTTGGACATGCTTTACTCGGTTTACCAAGCGAGCGCGTTACCACTAGGCTACCACTGCCGAATATATAATACAACCAAGTATATTAACCATGTATTATTAGGTATTTATAGTATAAATGTCACTATTGTTTGAAGAGGAACCTACAAGGTAGCTACCAAAAATCTGCTTTGGACCTTCAAGACCAAGTCTCAATTCAGCCTATAGGCTGAGTCTTCCTATTTGTGACAGTGCATTGCTGTACAGGCGTCCCTTGATGTTTCTCTGATTTCTTAAATATAATTGTTTTGATATGTTTTTTTTTCTGGTGCATGACCAAATAAGTTTTACTTTTGTACTATGTTAAACAGATAAAGATTATTTAAGTTAATGTTATTTTTCAATTTCACTTTTTATTTACCAATTGGTGTATCTATAAAACTACTTGCTGTATCAATTACCATTATCTTATATTTAGTATCTGTGCGACCCAATTTCGTTCGGCGTTTTTCGGGAAAGATATAAAAATTACGTATTTTTCATAAAAGATACCTCTATGTAAATAAACTTATAAAGCAAAACCTCATCTAAATAGAAAATCTGATAAAAAATCACATATTATATATTCATAACTTTAACCATGAGCTGGCTATAAATTTTGTTTTGGTCTATCTACTGATCACAAAGTTTTTCCTATATGAATGGATTCGAATTCTGCCAAATTTTGACTCCCAAAAAATTATTAATCTATTCTAATATTATAAGGAGGTAAAGTTTGTGAGTTTGTGAAGATGTAGGGGGTAATCTCTAGATCTACAGAACCGATTTAGATAAAGTTGGTTAAGAAGATAATTTGGGACCCTGGAAAGGGCATAGGATACTTTTTATCCCGGAAATCTGCCTTAAAGAAGTGAAAATGGGGATGAAAGTTTGTATCGGGGATCAACCTAGGGACGAACCCGAGCAAAGCGAGGGTGAGTCGCTAGTTAGTACAATATACTCGTAGATATAATTAAAAGATAGTATGATTTAAAAAGTTCTTCATTTTTCATCTTAGATGATTTTGATGTTGCTGATCATATTGAAGATAGATGCTGTCGCTTACTCTGCTAAAATTCTGCTGCTGCTGCTTAAAATATTATTCATAAAATAACTTTGTATATAAATAAATGTATGTATCAATTCTAAGTGAAAGGTATTGAAAGAAAGATAAGGAAATTGGATTACCTCAGAATTATTCAAAAATGTCATATAAACAATCATTTTTATTTAATGAATGTACAGAACAAATATATCTTTATTTATAAAATATCCCTGTCAGTCCCTGGGAGTCCCCGGAACTCCTGAGCCGATCTCAAAAATTCATTTTCGAAAGTATTATAATATCGTCAGAAATTGGATGGGTCTATTTTTCTTACGACGTATCACAAGTAGAAAGTATACTAAACATAAAATATATTTAAATAAATGGAAATGAGCAAAAACACTACTATTGATAATATAAAATTACTTATTAGAAGGCAATGGTAGCCCAGTGGTAACGTGCTCGCTTGGGAAGCCGAGTGGAGCGGCTTCAAAACCCGGGTCTCGCACCTCTGAGGAAACCTGCATGTCTGAGAGAAACTAACTAGTTATCGAAAGGCATGTGAAGTCCGCCAACCCGCACTTTGCCAGCGTCATGGACTATGGTCTGATCCCCCTCGTATTGAAGGGAGGCCCGTGTCCAGTAGTGGAGCATTAATAAGGGCTGAATACAATATTATTGTTAATAATAAAATATTTTTTATCTATTTAACGCTTATACTGATGTCGTATTATTTAAAATTTTCTCTTTCATTCCAGACAAGGTGCTCCAATTTCCATTCTTTATTCTAGAAACGGACTATGATGGTTATGCTATAGCATACACTTGTAAAACGTTAAAAAAGAAACTCAGAACACACTATGGTAACTTATTTTTTTTTTTTAATTATGCATTTATTTTCTGTGTAATATTAATCGGAGTATGTATGTTTCTTCGGATTTCGACGTGGAATAACATAAACTATATACTACTAGTAAATTCATCCAAAAAATCATGTGTACCTCGAAAAAAACAAACTGCACCTATTCATTTTGAATGCTAAACTACTAAGTTATCTAAGAAGAAGTAACTTACAATATGTATAATTCAATGTTTTTCTGACCTGCGTATGTTTACAACTTTTGTGCTTCGCCTTTTCTGATACGCGTTTTTTTTTAAGAAAAATTTTTTGCTCAATCTGAAAACTTAAACTATCTTTAAACTACTATCTTCACATTTTATAATAAATATTTGCTTTTTAAAACATAAAGGTAGAAAAAATACAAATATGTTCAAAAACTTAATTTATAAACCATTTCTATATCCATTATTTATTTTAATTCATTTCATATATTGCCAGTCTTCACTTGGGTGCTGACAAGAAGCAAAGAAAAGCTACAAGGAGAACTTCTCAAAAACGTCGAAAATACATTATCAAAGTACACCGAATTAGCAGAGCATAGACAGTCTTTTATCCTTAAAGATTTCAATGAAGCCAGCTGCGCTTTTACAAATAAATATGAGTCTGACTTTTTTACTAGTAACTTTTGGTAATAAGAGACACCAAAATTGCGTTTTTTTTAATTTATATTAAATTAAATAATCCAAAAAAATACAGCCAAGTTCAAAAACTCCGCTTTCAAGTCAATTTAAAAAAATCTAACTACATTGATATATAAATCTAAAACCCTTGCACCATCCTTGTAATTGTTAAATCACTTAGTCTCATTCGACTAATTTATTTAAAAAAATATATTTTTTAACGTGCTTACTTGATTAAATCAAAATAATATTTTATAGAAACAATAATATTTTTCTAATAAAATTTATATGCAGGAAATTTATCATGAAGAATAAGAAAATATTATGTAACATACTGTTTATAAGATATTGAAAAAACGTAAAAAGAAATAAAAACACCTTTATAGAAAATTTTTGTTTTAATTTTGAAATAAGCGACAGTGTTTCTAAAAATTTATTATTTAATAAAACGGATATTTTACACCAAATATTTCTTTGTAATAACTATTTTATTAAAAGTTACATTGATTAAAAGTGAAATACAAAAAAATCTATACATATAATAAAATTGTAACTAAGCCGAATCTGTACATTGAATATTTTTTGGAAAATCTTATTGAAATAGACAATATTATCGATACAGATGCCGAATCTATAGTTTTTAGAATTTTTGTCTGTCTGTCTGTCTGTCTGTTACCGCATCACAAAAAAACTACTGGACGGATTTTGATGAAATTTGGTATGGTTATAGCTGATCATATAGGATATTTTTTACTGCGGAAACAATCTCATTTCTGAGAAAAAATAACAAAAACTACAATGTAAGAGTACATATACTAATATGTAATACCTAAGAATTCGGCTTTTGGTCATCTGAACGTGGCCGGAGCCGCGGGCAATGCTAGTTATAAATAAAAAGAAACGTCTTTAGTTGTAGTTAATTCTTATTCGTTTTATTTTACATTTAATCCTATAGTAACCCCCTCTTATCTTAATATTTGTTTTGTCCTAACAAACTATATACAACATACATAATATGTTCAAATCAGTATATACTCGTAACTCATATTTTATATTATATATGTCTATGTCTAAAGTTAACATAGTTATTAAAGCAAATTGGACAATGCAAAAAAACCAAACAGGACCTTATTGATGCTGGGTCGAATCGTAATATCTGTAAATACAAATATACATTATATATATATATATATATATATATATATATATATATATATATATACATAAGCACTACCTCGTTAATCTAGTGGCTTTCGTGCGCATTTGAAGATCCTGGGATAGAGTAAAGAGTCGGGCTACTATTATTAGTATATTTGGGGGTGTTTATCAAAATAATTTTAATAAAAGGGCCTACTCACCACGTTTTATAGACGCACCGACGACACATATATCAAGGATTTACATCGTCTTAATATTCTGTGCTGATAAACTTAAAAAAAATCGGTTACTTTGCTTCGTATCCTTAACAACTAGTTATAAGTGAACATCGAAGGCACCTCTACTGCTCGACAGCACGACCAAAAGCCGTCGTCGTGTGCATGAGCCCTAAAATTAAACTTCAAAATTACCTTAATCGTTATCAATAAAGAAGATTGACAATTATTTCTCATTTATCAATCAAATCAACCTCTTTTTTAAATTGGATCATTTATCGTAACATCGCTTACTTTACTTTGTTAATGCACGTACCAATTTTTTATCGAAATGTTATCATCATTAGATATTTGCAATACACTAAATTAATTAATAGGTTGTTTGAGATATTAAAAATACCAATTGTAATTAGTATAATAATGTAAGATGCTATAATCATAATCTAATATGGGTTTAGGTTTACTTATGTTAGGTTCTTTGCAAAATCGAGGACCAAGGAACGCAGTTGCCAATGCTAATATCCATTTAACACACTAAAGGATATCATTAAAATCAAATTTTCACCATTTTTATCTCGATAGTTGTTGTGGCTAGTTTCAAGTTTTAAAAAATATCCTGAATTACAAAAGACGCAATTACTTATCATAGTTAAAAAATATTTAGGCTAGTTTCAGAGATTTTTGCCATACATACAAACAAACGAAAACTACCTTTTGAAATGATTTAATTGCTACTGTGGTAAATGCTTAGATAATCATAGCGATACATTTTAAAACACGCAAAAATATCAATACATATAAGATAATATATACTATCTTATATTCTTAGAAATTCTTATATTTTTAAAATGATACTTTCGCCATTTTTGGAAGAGTGAGACAATGAGACAAAATTTAAAATATTTACACTATAGTTACTCTTAATATAGAACAGAAATTATTCAAAAAATCTATTATTATGCATAGGCACATCGTATATCGATATATATAACATGCCGTATAAACGACATTTAAAAATCTCATAAACCATGTAAAAAAATATTCCTACAGAATCATGGTCAAAAATTAATTGTATCCTAGCAAAACTTGTGTTTTATACAAGAGTATGCATAAAAAATGAAAATACCACTTGTGTAGACACACAATTTAGTGGTAAATTGACCTTGTATTAAAAGTGAATTGGGACCGGGATTGGTATATAAAGGATTTGATCACAAGATGATTGCACTAGTAAGCTACAGGATTGTTAAGAAGCAAGACTACGATTATCCAATATGTACCGCTTAGCGTTTATTGTTTTTGTCGCATCAGTGTCTGCGAACTCGTGCCCAGAGGTCCAGCCTGTAGACAATTTTAACATTACCTCTGTAAGTTATTGTAGTGCAATATTCAGTTGAGTTATTATTATTGTAACAAAACGTAGAAATAAACTTATTATTTTTACTAGTATGGGCAAGGCATATGGTATGAAGTCGCAAGATACTCCAACTCCGGTGAAAATATTGGCGAATGCGGTTCTGCTGAATACAAATTAGATGGCAATGAGATAAAAGTAAAAAATTTCCACGCTATCAACAAGAAGGCTACATATGTCGAAGGAGTAGCAAAGCTTGCTGCAGATGCTGGTAAATCTGGAAAAGTGGACCTTAACCTGCCACATGGAGGTACTTTTTTTATTATCGCTTGGAAATAATGTCTCAGTACTGATAAAATTTTAAAAGCACAAACACTAATTACAAAAAAGCATGAGATAATTTCTTTAAAAAATGTAAACCTGAACTATAAAAAATTTATTGATTTTATGCAATGAATAGAATTATTTTTTTATGCAAAAATATTTTGACAATTAATTATTTCGTATGAATAATCAGGTAATAAATTAATCTTTAATTTATTTATTCTCCTATAGTTTAAAAGAAAATATTTTTAAGAATATCTCTATTTTTCAGCGGGCGGTGTCCTAAATAATATTGTTTTAAATATTTTGGCAATTGACTACAATAGATACCTAATTGCCTATTCTTGCAAAATTGATGAAGCTTCACATCACCAGATAGGTATAACTTTATTATTTTTAAGATTGCACTCTTCTCAATTTAAAAGTAGATCTGCTAGAAAACTAATACTTCTGCTAACAGAAGACCTCGCGAGCACAAACAGCATCTTGAGGATTCTCATCAAACCAAAGATCTTCATCAGATCTTCACCAAATTTTTTGTGAGACCCACTTAAAGTTGCAACCTTTCAAATAAAAAAGAACAATCGGATCTCATAAAGCACAGATATCCAGTAGCTCCCTTTTTGCTCCTTTTTGGAGCAAATACGTCCAATAAAAATAGCCGACGATAAGAAATGTTTATAAACTCGTATGTATAACAAGTTTTGTCCAGATCGGTTGTAATATACGACCTGTAGAAGAGTACCAACAAAATGATAGAGGAAAGCAAATTTTACTAGTCTTGAAGCAAAGACGCCTGGCTTTTTATTTTAATGTCACAATTTGAATAAATAAAAATTGTGACTTTAAAATGCAAATATTTGAGCAACTTTAGATAGATGTTTTAAATGCTATGTTTTTATCTGAATACATATTAAAACCATATTGTTTTTTTACAGAATCCGCCTGGATCCTCTCTAGATCTAAAATTCTTTCAGATGAGTCTAAGACCGCTGTTGACAAATTTTTAAAGGAATCCAAGATTTTAAGCGCTGATAAATTCGTTTGGCCGAAATTTAGCGAAGACGCCTGTAAAGTTGATGCTTAAAAAATTCTAAATGAATTTAATATGTTTCTCAACATTGAGACCAGATTCAACCATGCCATGCCATTCAATTTTCTAACCAAAAATGTATATTATAAGAAAAAATATTGTTGATTCATTTCAATTTTAACCAAAAAATATATTTAATTTAACATATAAGTGTTTTGTGTATTTTTTTCATCATAATATCAATACTAAATGTATTTATCGATCGAGCGAGAACAATTATGTATTATATACATAATTATATTTAATAATATTAAATTATCTAGTTTATAAAATAATTTTGTTTAGTTAGTTTTATTAAAATTACAATTTATTAGTTATATATACATATTTTTGAATGTATTTTAGGAAACGTGTGAAATTTTCAAATATGTAGTATAAAATATATATTTTTTAAATATTAGAAGTTAATCTATACTAGCATTACCCGCGGCTCCGCCCGCGTTCAGATGATACCAATACATATACCAATTTCATTGCGCACCGCATGATTGGCAAATAATAGCGGTGATTGACAATGCCACAAAGGTTCCTCCGCTACTAACAGACAGCTATTGATTAAATTAAATTTAGCAGATTATTTAAATTACATAATAATACCATTTCTTAATGTTAATTTATCGCGAAACAGGAATAGGTTAGAGCTTAGAAATGTTTTCCGAAATGATTTTCAAAAAAAGAAAAAGTTCCAGAAGAACATAATTAAAGAACCCAATAAAATGTCTATGACTCTAATCATAAATGATTATTATTAAATATTTTTTTTGGTAAGTCTTATTGAAATAGACATTATTATCGATACAGAAGCCGAATCTATAGTTTTTAGAATTTTTGTGAAAATAGCCTGAATGGCTTCGAAAAAAGGATGGTACAGCTTAGTCTTTTCTTGCTTGACTTGGTGGAAGCACTGCCGTACCCCCAGATTAATAACATCGCACCAACCCTGTATTGCTATATTTTTTCTGTTGTTAACTAAACCATAATTTTAACTCGTCAAGCTAAAGTGATAAACATACGAAAAATGTTTATAATTAAATGAAACATATTAAATTATAATTGCTTGTAATAATCTATTAATATGAAATGCTGATAGTTAAACGTCATCCCTTTATACCTGAAATCGATTATAGATATACGAGTATGTATCACCTTAACAGCAAAATAAAGTGTCCAGAATAATCTAAAAATTTACCAACTTGCCGTCTATCAAGGTTGATAACCTTATATTAAATGTCGTGACCTGGAACTGAAATATGTGTATAAAAGGTTTGAATTTTTATGAACATCACAAGTTATTTAAAGGCAATTATAGTAATAAGATATCAATATGTATCGGTTAGCTCTACTCGCCCTGGTTGCGTCGGTGTCCGCCAACTGCTGTCCGAAGGTCGATCCTGTAGATAACTTCCAATTTGCCGCTGTAAGTAGTGTTTACTTTTAAATCAAATTAAAATATTCTTTATTCAAATAGACATTATAAACACTTTTGAATAGTAATTTCTTATATTTTTTAAATTCAAATATTAGAATGAAGCCGGTAAGACCCTCAACAGCTCAATATGATAACAGCACAACACCAGTTAAAATATTATTAACAGTTATTACAATGATACCATTTATTTATTAAAAAATAATTTTAATCATCTATTACTGTTATCATTTTAAGCTATTTCAAGTAAATATCAGCTTATCTTTTGAGTAAAAGTATGTACGATATCGGATGCATGGAAAAGTATGTACGAGTGATACAAACAAGATCTCAGCATAACTCCTTTTGTGCTAAACGACAATAATTTGAAAAGGATTATTAGATTGTTCCTAGAGACGGTTTAATGGTTAGTATAGATTTCTGAGAAATGAAATATTTTCCAACAGTAAAAAGTAACCTATATGCTGACCCGGATAATTAATCAACAATTATCATACCAAATTTCATCAAAATCTGTCCAGTGATATTCTCGAGATGCTAACCCAACAAACAAAAATTCTAAAAACTATAGATTTGGCCTCTGTATCGATAATAATTACTATTTCAATAAGATTTTCCAAAAAATATTGAATATACAGATTCGACTCAGAATTGTATTATATATAAATATATAGATAACATATTATACGAGTTAAGACGACAGATGTTTTCCCGTCCAGATTTTAATTTTATTTGTGATATTTGAACCCATAAGAATCCTATAGAAAAAAGCACAGGTTTTCGCGAATTTCTCAATCTTCTTGGACTTTTTTTTAATTTATCACCACGAAAAGTATTCTAGTATAACGAACATAAATAAGAAATTGTCCAAATCAGAAAAATACGTTTACCAATAAAACAGCATTTCATTTTTATTTTATTGTCACTATAGTGGGGACAAGGTACTTGGTACGAAGTTGCGAGGTACCCCAGCCCCGGTGAGGATGGCACCACGTGCGGTCACGCCCAGAACAAACTCGAGGGAGATGAAGTCAAAGTGACAAACTACTTCGTTCGCAACAATAAGGCTGCTTCCATCGAGGGAGTCGCGAAACTCGCTCCGGACGCTGGTCAGACCGGCAAAATTCTCTTCAAAATGACCGGACGTATGTTTCTTTAAGATTTTAACTATTTAAATTATTTTTATACAATCCTTTAATTCAATTAAATTCTCTTGTAAATGGCTTCAAAGCGTGCCATTTGAGCACAGCTTACATCACTAATGTCACGTAGAATGGAGAAAACACAAAAAATCTTTTAAGATTAACTACAAAAAGATGGAAAAAAGAAAAGTACTACATATATATTCGAGTGTTTTTGTGTACATTACGCGATATCTTTATCAATTGGGGAGCATTTTATATAAACATAATTATAATCAATGGTTATCTCAAACGTGAGAGATAATTAATTTAAGATAATTTTGTTATTTATTTATTTTTTTAATTCTCTCTCTCTCTCTTTTATTTTTATTTATATGCATACATTTTTTTTTTATTTCAGGTCGTGGTGCTTTAATAGAGAACACTCTAGACATCATGGCCATTGAATATGATAAATACGCTATTACCTACTTCTGCAAATTTGACGAAGCTACACATAGCCACAGAGGTATATATTATTTGTATTTATTTTAAATTATGTTCTGATTTATAACTTCACATATGCCCTTAAAATATATCCCCCCATACCAATTAATATTAGAAATATGATGAGGTAGAAGGAAGTGTGCGACACCTATATAACATTTTTGAAACGAAGTTCCGTATCGCACGTTATACTCGTCACACTTAGTCAATGCCAGCTCAATGAAAAGATGTGTAATATTTATGAACCGTCACGACACTTTTTATCTATACTAAAATTCTAAAGAAGTAAAGTTTGTGAGATTGTGACGTTGTAGGGGGTAATCTCTGGATCTACTGAACCGATTTAGATGTTTGATAAGAAGATAGTTCGAGACCCTGGGAAGGATATAGGATACTTTATATCCCTGATATCCCCTTACAGGGGTGAAAATGGGGTTGATAGTTTGTATGGGGAATCAACCTATTTTAAAATAATTTATAAGAGAACTCCATGTGACGTCATCATAAGTAACAGGCTTATGATCATAAAAAGAGGGAACGTATGTGGTAAGAAATTCGTGTGAGCTCTTTGCAGGCCTTTCTTCGATGGGGTCCAACATATATAATGTAAGTTGCTTGATGCTTAAGATATCCTAGCAGCGCTGGATTCATGACAATTTAATGAAGTAGTTTATGAGCCAAGATAAGACAGCGAAAGAAATGCTTCGTTCCTACGGTTCCTTCTCAACTTTTTTGTTTTTGCTTGTAATAATTTCATAAAATGTTCTAACAGACAGACAACCCATTTCTTTTATCCCGTAATAAATCCCAAATATACACTTAATACGAATGCGTCACTAGGAAACGATATGACTGTTCTATAAATAAACCTTGCAAAAAAAAAATCAATCATGTAAAAATTTGGTAATTTAGATCGTTAATATTTTGACAGATTACGCCTGGGTCTTTTCAAGATCCAAGGTTCTTCCTGAAGACGCCAAGGCTGCTGTTGACAAATTCTTGAGCGAATCCAAGGTTTTGGAAGCCAAAAAATTCATATGGCCCAGTTTCAGCGATGAGGACTGCAAAGTCGACGCTTAAGCTATAAAATGGAATTGTGATAAAATGTAAATAATAACAATAGTAATAACTATATTTGCTATAAAACTTCACCTTATGCTATTATCGATGATTATGAAGAAAGACGCCAAAGAATATTGATTATTATCATCTCCTGTACTAATTTGAAAGAAATAAAAATTGGATTATAACGGAACAAAAATTATATTTTACTATTATATGTTCAGTCACATTATATGACTATTTTCCAAAATCTTAGATATATCTATCTATAGATAAATTAGATAAGATTGATTAAAAAATATAATTTGCTTGTTAAGAAATGTTCATTTTAGTTTTATAAATTTTAAAAAATATGAAGAAATAAATAAAATTTTTAAACGATTTCGAGGTCGATGTACCTTTGTCTTAAAAAAAATAACTCAACGTAAGTAATCTTTTAAAATCTAAAATCATATAATCCCATCCCATCCCATCTCATCCCACCCCACTAACCCATATTTCTTTAATAATATTATAAATGTAGATATTAGTTTTATGAATGCATGGATGTTTGTTACTCAATCACGCCAGAACGGCTGAAAAGATCTAAACGAAATTTGGTACAGAGATAAATTATAGTCCTGGAATAGCACTTAGGTTACTTTTTAACCGGGAAAAATATACGGTTCCCATGGGATAGATCTGTTTTTTTTCCAGGGACGAACCCGAACGAAGCGAGGATAGGTCACTAGTAATCAACATCTATACTTATTATAAAAATAAGTCCCCCGGCCGCGTCTTTCTGTCCTCCTGTCTGTCCTCCTGTCTGTCTGTACGCGATAAACTCGAAAACTACTGAACGGATTTTTATACGGTTTTCAACAATAGAAAGAGTAATTCTTGAGGAAGGTTTAGGTATATAATTTATTATGCTTTTATGTAAATTAGCTAAAATACGGCGACAAATGTTGAAGAGGTCGCAAAAAATCTCGCCAAATGGGAACTTTCCACGCGAACGCCGCGTAAACTAGCAAAGATACAGTTAAGTAATGTACTAGAGAATTCAAAATCTATAAAAATGCTACAAAAAAGTCCGCGATAGCATATCTCTATCTCTTACGGTTGACTTACAATAACCACTTTTATGTTAACATTTTTAATTAAAAACATTACGTTATTTTCAAAGTTATTTTCTTTAGTTCGGTATTAATCCTTATCCAAATGAATATTTTAGTTAGCTTAGTCATTTAATGCAGATTAAAATTGCTCTTTACACTAAATCAATCAGATGAATAGTTTTTGAGATATCGTTGTTAGAAGTAATTAGTAGCGAAACATTTTTAATGCTTGGCGAGCATTGAGATGCCTACGGCGAGTCCATCCCCTCTGCCCCGCATCGCTCGACCGCCTGCTCAAGCTATATAAACCGGGCGATGTAGCGCGCGATCCTAGGATACTTTTTACCGCGGGAAAATATCTTATTTCTGAGGAAAAATACAAAAACTGCAATGTAAGAGTATACTAATATGTAACACCTAAGAATTTAGTTTTTGGTCATCTGAACGCGGGCGGAGCCGCGGGCAATGCTAGTCAACATATAAAGTAGGCGGTACAAATTATTTCAGCGACTAACACTCGGAATAAGAATACTGGAAGAGTTTTCATTCATTGTACTTAGTACCTGGGCGACAGAGCTTCGTTCGGCGTTTTTTTTTTTTGTAGAATCTTATTTTTCGGAAAAGTTACGTTATTTTAAAAAAGACGCCTATATAGATAAACATAAAACCCAAAAATGTGTTTAAATACAAAATTTGATCCAAATCGTTAGAGCCGTCTCCGAGATACCTAATCGAAATAAATTTATATACAGTATACAATAATTTTTCATATAATATTATAAGATATATATCGATTAAATTAGATATATATAGATTAAATTAGGTCCATTTAATTGATACAATATACTCGTACATAATTGAATAAGCAACAAAGCTACCAACCACTTTTATCAATACTTATCAGTGATACATGTTATACAATAAAAAAAAATGTTTATCTTTACGTCTGACCTATAAATGTTAAAGTGCTAGGTCAAGCCCAGTTCAAACACTTTCGATTGTCTTGTTGAAGATTCGAAGAAGAAAGAATTTCATTTAAAATTGCAGATACAAGCGGGTGAGTTAGTTATTTCTATTTAATGTCACTTTTATATACGTAAAGCAAGTTGTAACCATGTTGAAAATGATTCACACATGTATATCAGAGATATGAAACTTCTATTCGGAACTATCTATTTATATCTATTTAAAACGTACCTAGGAACAAACCCAAGCATAGCGAGGGTGAACCGCTAGTATTTAAATAACTTGAAAGTTAATTGTTATATAATATTAAATATATAATATTCGCTGAAGTACTTTTTTAAAGAAACTACAGGATATCGAAGCATTACACTTTGCAGAGTTAGGCCTAATTGTTTTAAAAAGATAAGAAGTATATTCAGCTTTGAGTGTTTGATACGCCTATCAGCTTTTTGCAGGTGGAAATTGAAATATGATAACCCGTTAATAATTAAATCTTTAATATAATAAAATTGTAACTAAGCCAAATCTGTACATTAAATATTTTTTGGAAAATCTTATTGAAATAAACATTATTATCGATACAGAGGTCGGATTTATAGTTTTTAGGATTTTTGTCTATCTGTCTGTCTGTCTGTTACCGCATCACAGAAAAAGCACTGGAGGGATTTTGATGAAATTTGGTATGGTGATAGCTGGTTATCCGGGTCCACATATAGGATACTTTTTACCGCGGGAAAGTATCTCATTTTTGAGAAAAAATACAAAAACTGCAATATAAGAGTATACTAATATGTAAAACCTAAGTATTGGGTTTTAGGTCATCTGAACGCGGGCGGAGCCGCGGGCAATGCTAGTTCACTAATAAAATGTATAACAAAAATAAACTATCATATTATAGGATTTTTTCCTAATTGGACTAGAATTCTTTGATTCGTTACAGTTTAAAGTAATAATAAACGGTGTTTGTTTGCTCAGATTAGTGTAAATATTATGATTAATGGAATATATTTAATATATCAACAAATTTAAAATAAAAAAATCTATAAGTACTAATTAAATATAATAAAGAAACTAATTTTGTTTGAACACGCTAATCTCCGGAACTACTAATCCGATTAGAAAAATTCTTTTTACATTAGATAGCCCGTTTATTGAGAAAGGCTTAAAGGTCTATGTATCATTTAATATATAGTCTATCTATTTCATACTAACCGTCTAAACGTACCTTGAGACGAACCGAACAGAGTTTGAGTCGCTAGTTAGATAATAAATGGTGTAATATGAAAATTTTCTGTTAGCGTAATTTTATTAAGAGTGATATATCTAATATTTAATTTTTTAGGCATTGTTCGAGAGTGATAACGTTGTTTTGAGTTTTGTTAAAAATTATAATCAGCTCATGACTTGCCCAGATTATTATTCAAACCCGATTAATTAAGGCGTTCAGGTCATATCGTGTGATAAACAAACAAAATTATTTTTCGCATCTATAGCAAGGAAATAAGCATTAACTGAAGGATTTCAGTATTATATTGCATTTGTTCTGCTTAGATATAAGATTAAGTATAAATTTAAAATTTAAAAAACCCCCTACGCTAATTGTCATTTAAGGATTACACTGGCACGCGTGAAGCACTTAATGGAGTAATTATACGCCAAAATGCCTTACATATTTTTGGAATAGAGCTTGCTACTCTTACACTGCTGGACCGATAATAACCAAACATACTGAACCACCGCAAAGAAACTGGCTTTCAAATGAAAAAAACCGCATCGAAATCGGTCCATCTGTTTGAGAGCTACGATGCCACAGACAGACACACACATAAACAGACATCGACGTCAAACTTATAACACCCCTCTTTTTGCGTCGGGGGTTAAAAATTAGATAATTTGGAACATTCAATTTCTTTCCTAAGTAGAGATGATTCATAGATTTATTTATATCTAAATAACAATCGTTAGACCAATTTTTTGTATCGAAATCAACTATGTATCAAGTTAACAAACAAATTTCATCCAGCCGTACTGGCGTAAAAGAGTAACAAACATCCATACATACTCACAAACTTTCACATTTATAATATTAAAATACGGATAGTAGTCCGTATAGCAAAATCAAAATTATAACCTGACTTATAAAATAATAATCAACAGCCTACATATAAATTCTCAATTCAACAGACACTCACTCCTTTAAATATAGAATTACAGGATTTTTATTATAACTATTTTACTAGATTGAGCATTTTATCTTAATTCTAAACTGAAACATTGTCGTCAATATGAAACTTTGGGTAGAGTAAATAAAGGCAGTAAATGGAATGTATGTATGTATAATGTGGGCCGGTGTCTCTAGTAAATCTATGTAAGATTATACGTTTTCCACAATGCTTTTACAACAGGATCCCAGAAAATGTTCAAAAGGCTTCTATCGCCAAATTCAAAAAAATTGTTAAAGAACGTTTGTGTGCTAAAGGCTATAATACAATAAATGATTTTATAGAAGATGGCACACCTTGGGAATGAAATGATCGCCTCCAGGCTACTTCAACTTGATAATAATATTGTAAATTAAAATTTAACTTTAAAAAAAAAACGAGCTAATATTAGTCCCGCTGAGTTTCTTTCGCCAGTTGTTCTCAGGTCTTCTTCTTTCCGAACTGGTAGTAGACTCATGACGTTCAGTAAAAAATTGTAATAATTTAATGCTGAATAAAATATTTTGAATTTGAATGCGAGGTTTTCCTCGTACTTCTCTGTTAGTAGAGCGTTGGAGCAACACAATGCTTCCCCCCCCCCCCCCCAACGTGCGTTCACCTTATCGTGGTGGGGGGGGGCTCAATAGTGCCCGGCAATACAGCCGAGCGCAAAGCCAAGAAACGCACAGGGTGGTGGCCCACTTCGGTGGGCGGTGGGAGGTGGCAATGTTCGAAGGGCGGTGTACCATGC